ATATGGACATAATAAAATGCTTATTTATTGATGACTGAGTATCATTTGTTAATTCATTTCACATTGAAATGGAGGCATTTGATTGTTATGCAGTGGTTGATACATAGTGGCATTCATCAATATGACCTATAGTAGAGCGATTTTCACTTGACTGTCGAAAGTAATTGAGGAATTGGTTTGGTTTTGGTTTTACTACGCCCTTTGGTTGGCGAGTTTATTTACTTTGGTTTTGGTTTTACGACAGTCAAGTGAAAACCGCTCTAATTGTAGAGGAAGTATTTCTTTCCTGAACTGGGTAAACAGTAGTAAGTGGTGCAAAGCCTTGATTAGATTTCTACTATTTGTATAGTAACATTTAATGCATCTGCCGTGCTTGAATGATAAGTGCATCAGCCCATGTAGCCATGAATTTTCGGTATTGCTCTCAATAAATCTCTCTGGGTTGTCTCTCATAAATTGAACCCCAGCAGTACGTATATGCGTATGATGGTTGCTATTGCCATATAATTGATGTGATACAGATCTAAAGAAACAATCACCTGCACCGTCAACATCTATTGATTGTAAGCCAAGTTCACCTAATCTTGACTGCATCAAATTCTCAGAGGAAATAGGAGAGTTCAACTGCATTGTTGAACTGTGATTTTGCATAGAAGGTCTAATTATAACTTCATGATGATCAGTGTTGTATTGAGAAGATCCTGGCATTCTTCTCAAAATCTTTACTTAGTTTGAAATTCACATAATTGGTCATATGACTCACACAACTGCAAGAAAACAAAGATAAATATCGACGTGCTTTACATTTTTTCATTATCCTGTGATAATGTCTGCTAAAGAAAGACAGCAAATAAGCTTTCTTGGGTATAGCCATTTTATTTAAGTTAATTACCGGGGCCTAGCCGAAGGCTGGCACCGGTCATAAAATGCAACGCGTTTCTGTGTTTTCAAAGTTACATTGTTAGGGATATATCGCTGACTGAGATATATCGTTGGCTCGTTACGTTTGGGAGTGTTCGCTGAGATATATCGCTGGTTCAGAAATTTGAAGCAGGGAGCAACAACTGTAACCATGTAAATATTAATTCGATTAGTTTGCACACGGAATGGTTTAATGCGACTATATTTACCACTTATCAATAAATGAGATCCCTGTCTATTGCAAAATATTGTTACAGTATTCATCCTTGCGATGACAAAGCTTGGTCGACGTAGAACTGTGTACACTACGACAAAGCAAAAATCTTAACTTATTAAACTTGCATGCGCCAAGCTTTGTTTATGCGTTTGAATACCTTACAATTCGTACTCCCAACAGGAAACTTCGTCAAATATTTTCCGACAAACAATTTAAACTCATTAGGAGGAAGTCTATCACTTCTTTGACTTATGAAGCAACAAAACAAAATATTTTCAAATAACCCTTGTCACGCAATATTTACGTTGTCGAGATGCGCAAATTCTCAACTGTTCAAAATGCGGGATTCCGTAACATTTTGTCTTTTCACGGGCCAAGTCGCACTAGAGGACAAAACTGTTTATTTATGTCAAAAATCTGTCATCACAATGAAAAACCAAGTGCGACCGGTTTGTTCACCAAAGGACAAAATTTGGTCGCAGAAGGACAAACTTCAAAGATGCCGTCGACTACCTCTGGAGCAGGCCAAATTGAGACAAATTTTGGAAAACAATAGCAAGGGTGTTTTAATTCGGAAATGATTTGACAGGTGATTTGTAGCAGAGTCTCTATGCTATAGACTTCGTTGTAAAATTAATCACGTTCTCATTTCGCAACAACATGAATTCCGACGCGGGCGACAATTTTTTCCGCACGAATATCCACAATATCCACCAGGATGGATCTATCCTTTGCCAGGCCCTTACATGTTTAATGATCGAGGAAATCCCAGCCCATCTTCTTCGACCATGAGTGCTGACTCGTTGCCAGAATCCCTCCGGTTCAGCGAAGATTTAATGCCGCCATCAACCCCATGTTCTTAGCCCCGTGCATCTTCGTCAGCCGAGAACAAGAAGGCTCAGGACAGATGGAGTAAAGAAGCTTTTAGTTCACTGAACTGAGGGCTGAAAAGCATGGTGTTGTGTTTTGTTCACAGATTTTGTTGTTAAGTGCGACTGTAGCTTTCCGGACAAATTTTTTGTCACTGGCCGATTTCAAGTCGGATTTGTCCAGAACAAATCTGAAATTGCCCTCTAGTGCGACTTGGCCCTTATTCATTACACGTTGATGTAGAATTTTTATGTTTTTCTCCTTGGTATTCTTAGCTACTTTGGATTCTTGTTGCTAAGAAATATCTTATTATTATGTAATCGATCTGAACACGTGAGAAAAACTGTGTAACTTGACAGCCTAGGATTGGGAGTTGACTGGACATAATTGTTTACCTTTGTGATTTAGAAGTATATTGAAATAATTCAGAGATAATTAGTTATTCATTAAATAGGCTTAGGGCCGAATATAAATTCGATTAGTCTTGGAACGGAATGATTAATGCGACTATATTTGCTACTTATCAATAAATGAGATCCCTGTGTATTGAAAAATATTGTTACAGTATTCATCCTAACAATGACAAAGCTTACACACGACAAAACAAGAATCTTAACTTATTAAACTTGCTTGCGCGAAACTTTGTTTGTGCGTTTCAATACCTTACAATTCGCACTCGCTACAGGAAACTTCGTCAAATATTGGCCGACAAATAATTAAGACTCATTACAAGAAAGTCTATCACTGCTTTAACTGATGAAAAACCAAAAAAGACTGTTTCACATAACCTTTGTCACGCAATATTTACGTTAGCGATGGGAAAACTCTCAACTGTTCAAAATGGGGGATTCCCTAACATTTTCTCTTTTCACATTATTCATTACACCTTGTTTTCATCTCTAAAGAATATTTGCAAGAAAAAAGATTTTCATGTCGCCCGACGAAAAAGACCCTTCCACGTGGGTTGCCAAGACAAAAGTGGCCCCGGTAAAATTCACGAAGTGATTCTTGTTATCTTTGGATCGCATTGGTTATTACATTTATATCGTGCATGATAAAGTTTTCTCACCTTATTAACATAGCGATGGAGCTTTGAAGACTTCGGTATGTCAATCGTTGAAATCTTTTTGAAGACAAATTTCTTCAACATGCTATTCTTCTCGTTGAGACCTCTTAGAAACAGCAGTGGAATTCTGCTCGGTTCACGAGCACGTCTAGATCGCCTTGTAGCACGTTTAATTTTTTAAGATGATATAAAGTTAGCTTTGATAAGTGTTCGCTTTGATTCTCGATAAATCAGGGGCACCCAGCGGCAATTTTCGGGAAAATATCTGTTCGGAAGACGATTTTAGATCTACAATTTTCGGAGCTTTGGTGTAAAATTTCTTGCTTGCCTACCTCTCCTAGGATTTTCGAACATCTACAAAATGGTATAATTACCCATTTTTAACGGATTTTGACCCTAAAAAAAGGCCACCTAGAATTTTCGGGAGCCTTTTCCTGGCTGAAATTTTCGAGAAGGTAAGTTTTTATCCCTATAATTTTCGGATCACTAGACTGTCAGCTAGGAAATCCGAACAGATGAAAAGTTTTTAGGAAATAAAAATATGCCTATATCTACCGTTTGAATATTAAAATACGTTCAACAATGTTATGTTAAGTTGTTTTGAACTATATCGTCGTTGGGTGCCCTTGATAAATTTCACGAAGGAAGGTTCACTCTTAAGTGATGGCTCGTAAATTTGTCTCTCCAAATATTCACTCTTAAAAAACTAGTGCATCGTAAAGGTTGGGGAACGTGTCGTTCCCCAAAAAGCTATAATCTTTCTCTTGACTGTCCTCCATGCCTCGTGCTTTTCAAAATGGCGGATAAGATTTCAATAAGCCAGCGATATATCCCAGTTAGCGATATATCCCTAACAATGTAACGTTGAAAAAACGACAGAAACCGTCTGCATTTTAAGACCGGTGCCAGCCTTCGGCTGGGCCCCGGTAAAAGCATTCTTCCATAGAGTAGTTGCATGTCTGCAGTCAAATGTCAGGGTAAGAATCTGTCACAGTACAGGAAGGTTTTTAAAAAAGAAACTCGGCTCGTTATTTCTACACTGACACATTACGCGTTTTTCTCTTTTCGCAGCTGTTTTCTTTGAAAGGAGGCTACCCTACAGCTTCTACAAGTTCAAAACATAACATTCATCAAAAGTAAAAAACTCAAAAACCTTTAATATAGCGCTGTGCAGTTTTCGGGAAAAAACGAAATTGTTCACGGCTACCTAGGGCCTCCTTGTTCTAGCCAATAATGTTCCTTGTTTTCTGTAATGTCAATGTAAATAATATCTACACATTTCTGAACTGCTTACTCTATTATGAAGGCTATTCAGTGAGAATCACTTTTATGTTAGCAATGCTCCTTATTATTAGGCATTGCCGCCAGAATCAAGGAAAACGTTTGGCGGTGACCTCAGCTGGAAAGTGTTCCCAGCCAAATCCTTCTACGTACAAGAAGAAGCGTTGTAAATACAGCCTCAACAACGTTTGTCTCCGATTGTTTGGAAAAGATTTTGGAAACACCCACAACTTTTAGCTCGGATTGTTTGGAAACGATTCTTAATCATAACCTCTTGTTAAAATCTTCTCAGTAAAATGAGCCAGATGATTCGGCGACTGTCTTTTTTCCCTCCTCGTTACATCACAGGTCACGTGGTCGGAGGCAACGACTAACTAAGCAGGTTTGATGGAGACAGGCGATGGGGGAGTTTCAGTTTGTCACACAAAAAACATTTCGAAGGATGGAAGCGTCAGGAAAATTAGCCTTCGATTACAAGGGGAATTATACGTTTCTCTTAGTAAATACTTAGCTAGTTAGCCGAAATAGATCTGTGTGGCGTTACGTTGGCCTACAAAGCACCCCGTTTTTGGCTGTTTACCTGGCTAAATTGTTTTTACGACACGTAACTGTTTTACGTTCAATTCTCTGTTTTAGTTCAGGGGGTTAGTTCACCTTGCACTCGCTGTCGACGTTTGAGGCGTCATACCCCGAGGGCAAGGCCAAAGATATATATTCATCCTGACCAAAAAGACTTGTCGAACTCGCAGTCTCTAGTGATTCTGGCTCATCACCACAGTCTCCCTGAAGTTCAATATTCTCGACAAAATGTTCCTTTCTAAAGTGAAAAGGTGCGCCAGTCTTGCACGAAACAATTACTTTCCCTAGACCAACAACAACGATTGCTGGATTGATCTGAACGCTGTTTTCAAATCGGTACTCTCCTTCTTTCATTAAAACAACTTGATTTACTCCTTCAGGCTCCTCTATTTCTTCAAGAAAACTGCGCAATTCATCTGAATTTTCAACAACATGGATCTGCAACGCTCCATAACGTTGAATGACTGATGAAATATCCCGACCAGAGCTCAAGTGGTTAAACACAGCAGCAGAGGCCAAGGCTTCGTGTTTCCTCCCCAACTCAGTCATAATTGCAGCTCTCGTAGAGTAGCCAAGTAACCAAGAAGGGTCAGCTCTGATGGTGGATTTGGTGTCTTCCAGACCAAGCTCTAGCAAAGATTCCCGCTCACACGTGTTGCTCTTTTCTTTCGCTGCTTTCAAGTAAGTCGAAGCCCTTGCTGTAAGAAGCTGTGTGTTTTCTGGACATGAGGCCAATACCTTGCTATACAAAGACAACGCCTGGTGTAACTGTCCACGATCGAGGCACTTTTTAGCATCCTCTTTGTTCATTCTGATGAACTCCGCGGAGGGTGTTAGTTCAATGTTGTCGATGTAAACAGTTTTATCCAGGAACAGTGGAACGCCTTTGACACAGGTGATTTCGACCTTACCAAGGCCAACTATCACTGCATTTGATGGAACCTTTAAAGGCTGAGTTAGCACATATTTCCCACTGCGAACCACAATTACGAGACTGTTTTCAGTTATCTCTACGGCGCGCCCGAGATCTTCAGAAGTAGCTACGTCTTTTACAATGTAGCATCCAAAATGCTCGACAACAGCAGGTATTTGGGCCCATTGTAGTGGAAACAGGCTTTCAGCAACTGCAGCTGCAGCAAGTGATGCACCTCTTTGCCCAAGTTCAGCAAGACAAACAGCCTTCCAGTAGTATCCCTTCACCCAAGAAGGATCTGCAGATATCGCGCTAATAGAGTCTTGGAGAGCACGTTGAAGAATGTTCTGTTGCTCTTTTAAATGTTGACTCTGTGCTTTCTGTTTAGAAAGCTTGACTTGCGCAACGACTCTGTTTGTTAATAACTTTGCATCTCCTTGATTCAGGTTTAAGGCTTTGTTATAGAATTCGAGAGACCTCGAATAGTCACCTAAACTGAAAAAACCGTTACCTGCATCTCTGTAACGACTCGATTCGTTCACACTGGAATCTGCACAAGGTCCGCTTTGGTACTGTTCAGAAAATCCCTGGCGGTTAACAACAAGTACCGGTACCTGACGACAAACAAATGCACCCTTTTCATCAGTTCCTTGGAACAATTTCAGTGCAGCTAAAAAGGAATATACCTCTCGCATATCTGGGAAGTTAGAGCCATAATATTTCAATCGAAGGGACACAAATATTTCACCGATTCGTAGGTACATGGTCAACTTTTCTGCAGAAAGGTTCGGTTCACTCTCCGCGTTGAAAGCTATGCTAAGGCACCTCATTATGCTGAGCAAAAAAATTGCGACGGTTTCTTCGCTTCCATCATCTACATAAGGAATGCAGTTATTAACATAGCCATCTTTAATACAACTGTAGATATGGGGCCATCTGTTTTCCAAACGCTCTAGTAAATATGTTTCCATGACTACGTGGTTTGTTTGACACATCAAACTAAAATGGTTCCTCAGTCCCATCATCATATCATCAGACGAAGGAGGTAGCTTCATATTAATATCTCGCATTTCTTTGGCACATATTTCAGCTTCCTTAAATTTACCGGTGCTGGAGAACATGAAGATGGCACACTCAAGTACCTGCAAAAACATTGGGTGATCCCAGGGGTAAAGTCTTCTTGCCATCTCTAAAGATTTCATTAGCCGTTTAAAAACCAATTCATCTTTATTGCCTTTACGGTATTCAACCATCGCCATTTTCATTTGAAGTTCTGCAGTATCAGCTTCGCTTATTGGCAAGTCCGAACTTTCAAGCTCCAACAAACCATTGTAGGATTTTTCCAACTCTCCTTCAAAGAGGAACAATTGAGCTTTTTGAAAGAGAACATAGAATTTGATATCGGCTTCGATAACCACTCCAGATTTTTCAAATTCAAACATTTTTTGCATAGCACTTTCAATCAAATTCTTTCCTTCGTATGTTCCTTCAACAGTGAAGCTGTTCACTTTGCTGATACCTGCGTTGATCATCTCAAAGAGAAGCAAGTTCGGCTCACTGTCACCGTACACCACTTTTAAAAGTTTCAAGTAAAAGTTTGACAATTCACAATTAAGCCAAGAAAGTGAATTGCTTTTTTTAGTGAGGTTGTATACAAATTTGCAAAGCTCAAACGCGTCGTCACTAAAGAGTTTACCATTGTCATTCTCTCTTGGCACATTTATTTCCTCTTCCATGTAACTCGTCAGCTTGAGAAAATGTAGCAAAAGAGATAAAACAATACGTTGGTCTCCTACGTCCAATTCGTAGAGGTTGCCTAACTTAAAATTCTCGAATACAGGAAATTGTAAAAACGCAAAACGAAGAACACGAACGCATTCCACCAATGTCTTTATCCTTTCTGATTCCGTAAGGCTTTCTCTGACTACTTCTTGAACAAGCTTGTGGACACGGAACAGTTTACACTGGTTGTCTACTGTGAAAAGAGAGTAGCTTGATAGTATCTTCAGGATGTCACCAATATCCGAATAAGAAAACAAACCTTCTCTCACTTCCTTCTGATTGAATTCAGGAAATCCAGGATTGATGACATTGAAAGGAATAAATTCAGACTCTAAAAATGCTGAAATGCGCATAATCTTTGCAGCGGCAGGTGACTTCTCTTTGACATATTCGAAGTTCATCAGCCACGTTGTGTGAATTGACAACCTATGTTGCGCTTCCAGACTTAGAGCTGTGGCATGTTGCTGCTTTAAAAGATGAAGCCTAACTCCTTTATATCTGTCAAGGTAATCCTTAAAATTAAGTCGAAGAGGGCTGGAAGATATGTACGCTGCGGCTTGTTCGAGGGCTAGTGGCAGGGATCCCAGTTCTTTCGCTAAACAAATAGCTTCTGGGTCAAGATCGTTCCCTCCGAGACCTGACCGTTGCATTAGAAATAATGCACCCTCTTTTTCACTGAAGCACTGTAACTCCAAACAATCATCATTTGAAATCTTCAAAAACGTTCTACTCTGTGTTGCATTTGCCCTGGTTGTAACAAGTATGTGACCATGCTTCCTTGGGAGGTGCGTTCTTTGCAACATCCCTTTGCATATCTTCTTAACGCCTGCTGGGCAGGTTGGATCATTTAATTCATCGGCATTGTCTATCACAAGAAGCCATGGACGTTTCAATTTGGACAACCATGACAGGAATTTGTTCAAGATGTCTTCTATGTTGTCGTTTACTGAGGCGCTGATATTGACAAACGTAAGCATTTCGACTACGGATTTCCGTACATTTTCATCACTTTCACCGTTGACCCAAAACACGCCCCCTGGGAAGCGATGCTTGTAACGCCAAGCAAATTCTATAGCCAGCGACGTTTTTCCGCAGCCTCCAAGGCCGCATATTGTTTTAATACAAGATGTGTTTCCGGGTTTCTTCTCAGGGTTCAGCAAAACAAGACTTCTTTCAAGCCATTCTAGTTCTGATTTGCGGCCGGTAAACTCTGTTAACCCAGTCGGTGCCGTGTAAAGGATGTCATCGTCGTCATCGTCTCCCTTTTGTGAACCAACCTGGGCTTTGTGTTTCAATGTTTTTACTTCTTCTTTGACCTCCATGACATCTTCTCGTAATCTTGAGATCAAGCTTTTGTTTGTAGAAACATTCTTGGCTACTTTCTGTACTTCACAATACAAGTTTATGAGGTTGCTTTCTAACTGGGGCAAGATCAGTCCAACTGCATTAAGTTCCATGACAACCTTCTGTATACCATTCGACAATTCATCTAAGCCATCACAGATAACCTCAATTGTGTTTCTAAGATCATCTCTTTGGTTTAGGAACTTGTTGAAAGCAGCAACGTCAAGCAATATCGTGGATACATTTTCGGACAAGTTTCTTGACTCTTCTTCCATTTGCTGCTTTAGTGTAATGATCTCAGATTTGTTCGCATTACTTTGTTCTTGGACCTGAGATAAATGTCGAAGTGTATATGCCAAGTCATCTTGACACTTTCTCAGATCGGCCTCCAGACATTGCCGCAACAAGTGAAGAGCTTCAACCTCAGACTCTCTGACGTTAATCAGACCTTGACGAAACAAATCTTGCAAATCATTGGACGCCTTTTGGGCTGATAGTTCAGAGTTAAACAATGGGTCACTAAGCAGATTATTGAGATGACTCAATATAGTTGGAACATCGGCATCACAAATTTCTTGTTTGGCAGCATGCGCCCAACGATTTCTGCATTCATCTCTTGCTGAATTCAAAAGAGTTCGACTCACAGGGGGATTGATAAAAGGACACCATTCTAACAAATTCAAAAGACCACCGATGTCGGTTCCATCTGCGTTGATAACATCCTTTGCTCGGCTTCCAAGGCCTGGCATAAACACTTTGGCTATCTCCCATGCCCCAGTCGGAGATCCCCACTGTGTTCGGTCACTGTTGTCCCAGCAAATCTTTGGTCGCCCGGACTTGTGATATCGTTTTAGTTCCATTTCCCAAGTGACACAGGTGGCGCACTGTTACTAACAGTGCGCAAGCGCAAGATGGAAGTGACTGAAGCGGAGGACTGGAAATAAGAGACTGGTACCAAGTTTCCATTTTCTTTTGAATTTTTGATGTAATTCCTTTTTTGGCAATATTCAGGGCACAACCAACCATCACCCAGTTTTTGTGTTCTTTCTTATCAAGCTGTGCCACCCAACCGCCAGATGCCATTACGATACTGATTTCGAGAGAAACTAAGAAACAGTTCGACTTGGAACTAAACGACAAAACAGGAACGACGCTTTAGGCTGAGTCTAGTTCTCTTTACCTTGTCCTTTTCTAGGCCCTTTGTGGCATTTCCTAACCGAGGATCTGCAACTGAAAGACCAAAAATCTTACAACATGAAAAATTACCTTAAATACGCTAAAGTTCCCCGAAAAAGCAACAACGGCGATTTTATCAAGAACTTTACAAATACGAATAGACCTTGTCACTGTTTTCGACACCATCTTGACGAGTAGGCAAACGCGTAAAAAATTACCGTGTTTGTGTGCGAATCTAATGTCGAATAATTTCCGTAGAACGGCTGTTCTGACAAAAATATCATTTGTAAACTAAAGCTTCTCTCTTAAGAATTCTACTGAAAAAAATTGACGCGTTACATGCTCGAGAAGACCTAGAACCACTTTTTTAAATTTTGCATACGTTTGTCTGTAAGAAAGTCCCGGGAAAATTACAGACAAATATATGGAAAATCTAAAGCAAGCCTCTGGAGAAATCTAAGCACAGGTACACGCCCAAAATCTTTTTAGGACAATCCTTTGCTTTGTAGCTTTAGTTTACAATCGATATTTTTTTGAGAACAGCCGTTCTACGGAAATTATTCGACATTAGATTCTCATACAAACACTGTAATTTCTCACACGTTTGCCTACTCGTCAAGATGGCGTCGAAAACCGTGACAAGGTCTATTTGCAACAGGCTTATTGAGGAGCAAACGAACGGATATTTTAATAGATATTATGATCTGTGAAATATAGGTGGGAGACGAGGACTAATATTATGCGAGGTCAACGCATGAATACAAATGCTGCTAACTTTCAGTGTCAAACGTAAGCAAACACTGGAGAAAGAAACTAACTCCTATTTTGTGGGTGCTTAATATCCAGTAATAGGGACCTTAAGCATCGACGACGAAATGGGACGACGACGCCGACCGGAAGTGAAATTTTCCCGAGCGAACCTTCTAGGCATGCGTAAGGTTGTCAAAACGTCGTCCAGCCTTCGTTTTGAACTATACTTTTTGCGTGTGAATCACTCTTTCCCCCTCTTGTCATTCAGTACAAGTAGAAATATATTCTTTGTGGATTAGCAGAATCCAAATGTTAAACACTTTCTCGGTTTCTTCGCCTGCTAACTTGAATTTATTTTTCAGGTTCGGTTTGTTTGAAAACCTGAGTGATGGCGGAACAACAAGTCGGACAGACAAGTAAGCTTTCCTCTGCTATCTTCCGAACCTTTTAGATTAGCTGCTGTTCGTTTCCTTACGGTCCTATGTTTACTCATGCATTCTAGGTTGTGCTATAGGATAAATGTTCATTTTTTCGTACTAAGATTTAATAATTTCCCATGTTGTTTTTAGCCCGGCGGGGCTAAAGTGCAGGTCACAGGTCACAGGTCAGGTCACAGGCCAGGTTACAGGTCACAGGCCACAGGTCAGGTCACAGGTCAGACCACAGGCCACAGGTCAGGTCACAGGTCAGATCACAGGTCACACACAAAAACAATAGGGCACTGGACAAAACTGTTCTTGATTGGCATTTTATTATACAAAGCCAAGGAACCTCAATTATATTTTTTCTGTTCTGAACTTTACCAAATCCCACACATGAGAAAATATATTCATTGTTGATCACGCAAGGAGGACTTGCGTTACAGCGTAACCAAAGTTGGTAACGAAATCACAAAGGTACGCAAAATCACGTGTTTTTTGAGAAAAAAACGGATCTCAAAACGAAGGGCTGTTGCGTTAAGAATTTCATGACGTGTTTGTGGATGTTTTGAAAAGCATTCGACGGGAAAACGGAAGAAAAACTTAAGGACAGTCTAAAACTTATTTGACCGCTGAAATACGGCAACTTTTTTCAGACTTTCCTCGTCCTAAACTCTTCTTGCCACTAGATCGGTCTTCCATCTCTTTTGAAGATGGCGGCCTGTTGCTCGCGCTTCGTACCAGTCATTAAATACTGCTGTGTTAAAGTGTAGTCGGTTAAGAACTTCAGACACTGCTATTTGGGCCTCTCGAATAGTTGCTGGACCATATTTCTCGGCTCTTCTCTCAAGAGCTTGCCATTTTCTCACGTTCTGTTCCACAACAGCTTGAAAAACCTCTGTTGGATTTGCCTCGTGGGCTTTAGGTGGGAGCATTCCGCCATTACAACTTGAATCTTTGACTCTGTAAACTGCTGATGTATAAAAGGATTACAGTGCTGCATTTCAATGACTCGCTCCAAGTTATCTTGGCTGCACGGTTTATTTGGAGATGACATTCTAATAACACGACAACACTTCGTTTTCAGTGAAAAACATGTGATTTGTTTTTCGTACAAATCACATGATTTTGCACACCTTTGTGATTTCGTTACGAACTTTGGATATGCCGTATGATCAGCATGAAAATGTTATTCCATGTGTGGAATTTAATATTGTTTAAAGGACAAAAATATCATCAAGGTTCCTTGACTTATTTTATTTTTGTATAGTAAAACGTCAGTCCAGAACAGTTTTGTCCAGTGTCCTATTGTTTTTTGGGTGACCTGTGACCTGACCTGTGGCCTGTGACCTGTAACCTGACCTGTGACCTGACCTGTGGCCTGTGACCTGTAACCTGTGACCTGACCTGTGGCCTGTGACCTGCACTTTAGCCCCGCCGTTTTTAGCCGCTATTAAAGGCAACTATTTTGCAGTGGACTCAGCTGGAACATGATGTGGTTATGAGGAGCCCTGAGAGAGGACAAATATGGGAGAACATTGTAGCAGCACTGAATTCTCTTCAGCAGCCGAAATTTAGCTTAACTGCAAGTCAAGAGCTGTTCGAGATCGGTATACAGGTTTAACTTCATTTCAAAACAAAAACAAAAGCTGCGCGACGAAGAGAAAGCCTCCACAATCAAATAATCCAGGTCCTAAAGAACAATGAATTCGCCATCGTCGATTAAACCATCTTCATACCTTATAAAATGCAAATTACGGAGGCCTTTGAATGCCCTAACAAGACTGTAACAAGACAAAGTTCTTCGCAAAGAAAAAGTCGTCGTCCGTCTGGGAAGCTGCACTGCTTAAACTTCGTTTTCCTCGCCGAAAACGAAACCCTTGGCCCAGTCTGCCTCGGTTGGGAAGCGTCGTCGTCGTCGTCCGTTTAGTTGTCGATGCTTAAGGTCCCTAATATAATGATAGCAGCTTGCCACAGCTTTCATACACTACCAGGGGCGGATCCAGGATTTTTTTTAGGAGGGGGTGCACTCGTCTCTTGCACTACTTCAACACCAATAAACCACATAGTTTTTTTTTACAGAATACCAGTTGTATTAGAAAACCGCAGGTCATCTCAGGGGGGGTGTGCACCCCCTGCACCCTCCCCCTAGATCCGCCCCTGACTACCAACGATGGCTTGCGAGACACGCACTCTTTATTAGAACGAGTCAACTGAGTAAAAGAAGATACAATGAGCTGAAAAGGATGTTTCCTTGCTAAAGGTGATTTTTTACAATAAACTGTCACCTCCTACAAATACCTACTGGATACCATGCAAAGTTTGTTTAAGGTATTTAACCCTTTAAAGGGTCTTTAAACCCTAATATCGAAAGCAAAAATTTTCATTTTTTGTCTCTATACGTTTTCTATAATAGTAGTGGGGAGAAGCTGCTAAAGAAGTATCAAATTTATCTCATGCGATCGACACTGTCCTTAATTCGCGTGACCACTCTGTTTTATGAAGCATAAATATTACAAGGAGAAGATCAATGCTCATCGTTCATAGAGATGAAAGTAGTAAGAGTGAACCATCGTTGGTTGACATATCTGTCTGGTTACTTCGTTTGAATTTGTCAGGTTTGATTTTCTTGCAAGCTTCTGCTATAGCTCAATAATTATGACAATACCTTATCACTTAGGTTGACAATTTTTGACACAGGGTGGGGTGGGGTGGGGCAGACCCTGAGAATGAGGTTGTATTTAGTACGGGTATTCCTGGGTCTCTCTGATCCCCTCTGGGGTTAGTCTGCTACACAGCGGTTTTTAGTGTGGAGAGGAGCGTTGCGTGACGACACTAAAAACGGTGTGTAGCAGACTACTCTGGGGTGGGGTATTGAAAGGCCCTAAGAATGAGGTAGACAGCTGTATACAGATGTCATTTCTGCTGGGTGTTTTCAAATTATCAGTGTTTTAATAAAATTGTCCCATATGAAGAATTTTCTTGCGCTTTAACCACAACAACAACAAAAATGAGAAAATAAAATAAGCAACAGGTAAAAATTCTGAGCTTGCAGCACACTATTTCATACAAATCTTACAAACATATCATACCAAAAGTGGAAAGATATAGGAGGACAGAGAGGGAAAAATACAAAGCAGAAATAGGAGAGGGTTCCATCAGTAATTCTCTCTGGAAATTTTTTTTCTCCCTTTCTCCCTTTTTCATTGTTCTCCTGCTACCCCTCCCTGAAATCTTTTGCCTGCCAAGCACAGTATTTATTGACAATGCATAATTAGGTTGAGTATGATCATCCAGGTAGTCCTGCATAGAACTGTTGTTGTTGACAGTGACTGCCATTTCGACAACTTAGGGGGGTATAGAGCTTAGAACTCTGAAGATCACTACTGGACAGGTTGTCAACACGTCAGTCACTGTCAACAACAACAGTCCTATTCAAGAACATGATCACCCCGACAATCATACTCAACCTACTGAATATGAAATGACTCCTGGATTCAAACCTTTCACAATTG